AAAATAATATTTAAGAAATACTTGCTTTTGATCTGAAATATTTCCTAAATATGTATGTAATATTTTGTGCTATCTGGGTAGATGAACATGTATTTTACATAGAAACTTACTTCAGTATTCAGATGAATGATCCCGCCTGCCTCCTGAAAGTCCGTGCCAAAGGCCTGGGTAACGTTCCTGAAGCTCACATTGGCGGTTCTGGCGCACCACAGCGCCCTCACCCCCCTACAGCCTGTAGATTTGCCCTGAATGGCCCCTAGGGAGTCCAACAGCTCCACATCCTCTACCTGCAACATCCGCCTTTAGCTTCTCCCAGACCTTAAGCTGGTAGCTGACTTGGTTGTCCCTAGCGCGCTCTAACAGACAGTTCAGCAGCTCAGCTTCGTTACAGTCCGAGGCTACGATCAGCTTCCCGCATTTGTTGTAGCTGATGCCCTTCAGGCTGCAGTAGCGCTGCAGCAAGTCAATCCCCTGCACGCAAAGACGTGCCTTAAGGCTGCCCGGTGGGTAGTAGATGCCGCAATGCATCACCCCGCTGTTGTGGCTGCTCTGGTGGCCGCCCAAGCACCCACCTTTTTCCAGCACCTGGATGTTCAAGTGGTTGAGGTCCAGCTTCAGCTGCCTGCCAATAGCAGTGCCAATTATTCCTCCGCCTATGATTGCCAGGTCGCAGTTGGTTGAACTTTTCCTGTCGAAACACGTTTTGTTCCCATTGCAGTGTATTTGAGCGGGGTTGGCGTTGGTTGGGATACCTTTGCTGTACCGACCACCTTTTTGCCGCTGCTTTCAATCTCCAGATCAGCTGCAACTTGCTCGCAATCATAGTGAAACTATTTGCTATGACTTCAGCTTCAGTTTGTCAAGTCAACTTGAAATAATTTTTTGCTCGATTTCCATGGAAAACCTCTTGATGTTAAAGCGAAACACTGAAGCTGCTGGGTTTGGCCTAACACTCGTTTCCTCCCGGTAGAACCATTAGATTCGATACTCAGGCTCTTGAAGGTGTTCTTAAGGCAAACATGTACAAAAACCCGCACTGAGCTCGAATGTTTGAAAGTGCGCGCTATTTAGAGTTGAGTTCTTCGCAATCGCCGATTGGTTGAGCCGGATGACAGGTGTCAGATGTCCCGTATGGACCGCAGAACTGTGTTTGTAAATAGGTTTAAATAGATTTTTTTATAGAAGCAATGCCCCCTTTTAAATAATCTGTGTGAACGTGGTGGCAATTGGGGCTTCTCTGGCACGACGGCGGTCCGGATTTATTTCATTCCAGCTCCGGAGGCCGAACGGTTTGCGACGTTTGAGGTTAGGTGACCGTAGACTGAAATCTGTGATGTGTCCGGAACGGGGGCCCAAATGGACGCTTTAAGGCTTGCCCTCCGTATAGAGGACCTCCAACACGTGTCACACGACGTGACTGTTTGTCGCTGATTCACGTATTAATGGTTAGTGACCTACAAAATGGTCAACAATCTCCACTTTCCCTGTGTTGTCATTTTGTGCCAATTGTCAGAGCGAGTGGAAATTCTCGATCTAGGCCCGTTTTCCTTTGAAGCCCCTTAAATTATCTGGACTTTACCCTTCTCAAACCTTTAACTTTCGTTTGACCAGAGTCCAGGCTTGACGCTTTGACTCTATGTGTATATTTTTATGCAGCTCTAGTTATTGTGATATGGAGGGTTTCGGTTTTAGAGTCATGGTCTGGAAGAGATAGAATTTGCTCTAACACTCAGCTAGAAGATGTGGGTCCCTGAAAACAGACACTGATTGAAAGTGCAAAGCATGGAGGAAGCATGCAATGAGGCCGAAGTAAGTTCTTATTGGCGGAACTTGTTTGGCCGGAGTTTAAGTCCAAGTTTTAGCGTGCAGTGACAAGGCTGAAGTTCCTTCAAGCTGCAAGTAGTAGCAGCAGTAGTTGTACGAGTAGTAGAGAAGAGAGCCAGGCACCATCGGACTCCGAGCCCAAACAGGCTCACTTGGACATATTCAAGGAGCTTCAGAAGCTTCGGGATGAGGAAGAGTCAGACAGTAGTTGCGACGAGGAGGATCAGGTAGGGCTGGTTTTGCTTGCAAGAGAAGAGAGTGCAACTGTAGTTTTTCCTTCCTTTCCAGGAGATTCAGTACCGGCCTCTGATCCTGGACAAACTGGTGAAGAAGGAGCAGCTGAATACCGTCATTCTGAATCTTTACGCAGCCAACAAAGGTTACTCGTTGGGGTTTCGAATGCACGACCGCAAAACCATGCGTTTCAAGGAGGAAATCATCGAGACCAAATTACGAAGCTACGAGGAGACGGCAGTTTTACGGTAAATTTCGCCAGGGAAATGCGATGACGAATTTTTTTTGTGTTGGCGAGGTGGAAAATGCTGCAGGCTCGAATTTTTTGCTTAGCCTATATAAGGGTGGACCAGTTTCCAGAGCGGAAAAATAATCTGAGTGCTGCTAAAATATATTGGAGAAACGCCAACGAATTCAGGGTGTTTAAGTTTGGCTTAATAAAGTACATGAAAATTTCAAGTAATCCCTAGGGCCAAAAATCCTGTAAGGGCGAGCTTGAATTGATGAATACACAATACAGCCTAAGCACAACATTTTCTTCTTGCTTATGAGTTTATCAATCTCTTGTAGGCATATACACAACGAGCAGATACCCCCTTTGCTGCTGGAGGCGCTGGAAAAGTACGATTTCCTCTTCTACAATGGCTGTGTTATCCTGGAAGTTCGAAACCATTGCCTCACCTTCCCGAGTGGGAGTTGCTACGTCCATCACGTGCTGCTGCGGCCCACACAACAGGTAGGGAAAGCACTCCCACTAAATCCAGACCGCGTTTTACGTGGGTGTTCTTCCAGACCGTTCTGGCGGACATAAACACGTTGACGAGGGACCGGCCGGAGTTTACGGCAGAGGATCGCGACGTGCTGGAGAGCCAAATCGTGATGGCACAAACGCCCGATCTGTGCCTGGACCCCGATCCCGACCTGGAAGATCGAGTGACCGCGATCAACAACCGGACGCGCTTGTGGCATGCTGGGCCTTTTGTTAGGATGGCTACCAAATCGGTGAAAGTAGCTGCTAACAGAAAGCGGAAATGCGACGAGCCCATACCCGGCCTGCAGCTGCTAGAGTTCTGCAGGGCAAAGAAGGCTCGAATGTCTGCAACGAAGAGTAATAAGGTGGGGTTTGACAGTGCATGTTCTTGTTGTTTAATTAATTGCGAGGGTTGCGCAGGCTGCCCAATCTGAAGAAACTAAGACTGTGATTCCGGCCCCCAAATTCGAGGAGCTGGCGCTGGCTCCCCCGAGCAAACCCATCGTGATGAATAAGTTCAAAGCGTTAGATCGTCCTGAAGTTACGAGTGACTGCACTCTATACCGAATCGAGGATCATGTATTAGAGACTGATATTCCGGTGAGCGTTGCCTCATGGCTTAGTAGCCTTTTTGTACGTAAGATGTGTTCTTAGGAGGAGAAGCCGCGGCTCTACCACACCACTCTGTCGATTCTCTATCGGCCCTCCAACATGGACTTTTTCGGCGAAGTCTATTTGGACAGAGATTTCAACTTGGGTCAACGAGCCGGCCTTATATCTAGATTTCGATTAGGTGAGTAATTTCCAATGCATTTCGCTATTTTAGTCATGTCAAGGATTCGTTTAGTCGAGCAACAAATACGCCATACAATCTCAGGCTAAAGTCCGCATTTCTTCAGGTACTCGCGCTATGGCGCATCGGTACGTGTTCCAATTCACTGAACTCTTCACTGATTCCGGCCGAAAGAACAACGTGCGTGTTCAAAGCAAGTATCATCTTCACGACCCTGAGGAGGTAATTCTGCCGCCCAATGCCTCACATTTGACTCGCCAAAGACTGTCTAATCTCAAGGAGCACATAGCTCGCTTAAATCGCGCCATTCACGCCCTGTCTTCCCAGAAGGAAATTAACCTTAACGAGCTGGCCAGCGGCATCTACTCGGGAGATTTTGAGGCAAGTCTACCACCCGAATGGGACATCAGCGTTAATTACATTTGAACTCTTCTCCAGCAATCCGATTTGTATGCGTCGCGGTCGCACACACAGAAATCCATCCCAATGACCAGAGAAGAGCAGGAGATTAACGATTTGGCCACCAAGCTGGAGCTGTCGGCACAGCCATTTGATGCAGCTGGTAGGGCCACTTTTGTGATGCAGCCACGTTTCGACTGAACTAGTGGGTTTATTTTAGAAAAAGCCAATCGCCAGGCGGCCGCCGCTGCCCAGCAGAAACAGCTAGCGCATCCGAATATGATCAATCTCTTGCATAGTTCTCCAGTGAGCAACGTCAACAGCAACGCAAGTGCTGCCGTTGCTAGTGCGGTCCATAGCGCTGGATTGGCTCAGCAGCGGCTACTGACCAGGCGGGCTACGCTGAACAGTGTAACAGCGGATGACACGAGGGTATGCATTATCTAACGGTTTGGCGTGATTCTCTAAATAACTTGACCTATTGCAGGTGGTGAGCCAGAATCTGGTTTCCTTGAACAATCGTAGCAGGTTGAGCGCGCCCCAAACAGTTACTCTGTCCAGCATCAGCAATGCCACTCGGATGAACTTGGGGACACTAAATTCGCGCCAGCAAAATCAAACAGTCACTCTTACCTCAATGAGCAATGCGGGCGGCAGTTTCAGTTTCACCACCGTGCCAGCTAAGCACCAGCAGCAGAATCAACAGGTTTGATTATCGACTAGAAATCGGGCGTTTAAACCTGTGATTGCGGTTCTAGGGGCAGAATCAGCGCAACAGCGGGTCGTATGCGCACCCAGAAGGCAGCAGCGAGTCAGCTCTGGGCGCTCTTTTGGTGGGCACCCCTGCTGCTGACCGGCCGGAGATTGCCAGCCCCAATCACGCCAATTCCCTGCTGCTGGAAAAGTTCGCTCCTAATCCCGCTGGTTATGGACAGTCCGGTAAAACGCCCCAAGGAACCACGCAGCAGTTCGTCCTGCAAACCTCCAAAGCGAACAGCGTAAGTTAGCGGCCGTTTGAACGCCGTAGTCTTGCTCATTCGTTCATTGTTTGCAGGTGATTTCGTCACTATCTAGTCCAACCGCCCAGAGTTCGAGCACCGTGAACGTGCAAAGCTTGAACTTGTCGCAGCTGCAGAGCATTCCCGGTCTGCACAATGTCCAGGTACTGCTACCAGTGCATCTGCTGGGCAAATGCTGATGAGAAATTGTTCAGTTTCAGTTGCCCAACTTTGCGCAACCCATCTCGCTGGCAGTGAATGTGGGCAGCCAGATATCGGGGGCCACGGCGCCCCAAGGTATCGTCATGACCATGCCAGGCACTCAGACGCAGCAGCCCCTAGCTGCGCAGGGCTCGTCTGGGCAACCCATTCAAGGGATGGTGATGAATGCAGGCAATACATCGGCTGGTTCTTCTACTTTAGGTATAAATTGTCTAATGTTTTCAAACGCATTCAGAGTGTTGCATCTAAACAACCCAAAAAATTCCTCTTGGTTCAGTGTCTATAAAGCCCACTGGTTGTTTTATAATGCGACTGTGTACTATTTCAGCTCATTTAGTTACCTCAGGCCCCATGAAGAATAGGCGGATAACTTCGGGAGCCCAAACCTTGCAACTGACTGCTAATCACTCCCAGCTAATTTCTCAGTTACAAGTAAGCGCAATTGGGCACCAAGTCGGGGCATAGTGTTGTGCATGTTTATTTTTACAGGGCACTCCCAGGCAAGCGAACGTAATGCCGAATCAAGCGGTCATCTCCGGTAGAAGCCTTCAGCGGACCGCCACTACGCACAAAATGGCCCCAAATCCAAGTCAGTTAAACCACATCGAATTTGACAATAATTGACCAGTAGCTAGTTGTACTTGTTAAGAAGTCTGAGGCACTGAACAGGGTTTCTCGTGTGCAGATAAGACGCAATCTGAGCTAGAAGCGGTTCAGCATTACCAGCAGCGGCTAGTGTCTCAGAACGGCCTGGAGGGCGTCTTCGATAAGCTGAGGAAGTCGAGTGGCGGAGGTGACTAGTCTTAGGGAACGCTGGGGTGTTCGGGTCGGACTCTCAGTGAAAATGCGCTTCTAGTCTCGGTGACGCTTCGCAACTGAACTCCAGGCAGGATTTAAGACAAGACTGGCTTGATGAACAGGTTTGTTTCATGGAATTTATGGCAACACTTGCACCAATTTTGATGAAACGCCGCCAATGTGCCTAAGCAGGAGGAACGAACCGGCTTGTTTAAATCGGGTTTAGTTAGGCAACCACATGATCTCAAGTATTTTGTATTGAAGTTTTTATGTTTCTTGGACACACGGTTTCTTATTAGCTGTGCCAAATGCGACCTTTTAGGTGCGAGGGCATGCTGTGATCGGTTGACAAGTCGTCTCGTATGTACGCGTGTATATTTTGTAGTATAGGACTATTTATTTTTGTTCGCATGTAGGAAACGGGTGCCCCAAAGTTAAAATCTGTTTTTCATCGCCAATTGTTTCCGTTGTAGTTTTGCCGTCGTTTGCCGACTCATCACCTGCTGGGGCCCCAGTTAATCAGCAAGTCTGAAGAAGTGCAGTTAGTACCTTTTAAACGCTGTATTATACAGAATGAGCCGCAACTATGAACCAATCAATAGTGCTGCGTTCAGAGCACTCTGCAAATATACTCGATTTTCATTACTTCCCTGTTTACAACTAATGGTTCCTAGATGAGACACATTCTCTATACAGGGTGGCTAGTTAGGTTTCATTTGTCTTGGTGCAAATACTAAAATAAACCAGGCAAAGTGTAAATAAATGTGTAAATATGTGTCCTTAACCAGAGCTGCCGTTGTATATAAACCTCATTAGCTAGGCGATCAATTTTTCAATTGAGCAACGAGCTGCGCTCCTATCCTCACCCAGTCTAGCAAATATACCTTTGGGAGCGCATTTCGGTGCAGTATTTTAGCAAATTTCAATGCCGAGTGCTTGCAGTGAATTACCCGACCTGCAAACGCCCTGCATTTTGTGCCTGATTTAAAAATGACCTATTCGTACGTTGTTGTGTAATTAACTGATTTATGTATATATATACATATACATAGTAAATAATTTTTTTAGTAGCTGGCTTTGGTTTAATTAACCTGTAACATTTTGATTGTTTTATTGAAACCTATACATTTATAAATGCTCTATTCTTTGGCTTAAATCCAAATCGACAAACAAATACATTTGAAATGCATCGGACAACAGGCAAAACCCCTATACAAACTGATAAGGGAACTTTGCTTGCACACCATTTAAACCAAACACTTTCACCGACTTTTGGACTTCGATTTCCGGAGTTTGATATTTTATGTGTGTGAATGAGTTTTCTTAATTTGAGTCGCGGGCGACACGTTAATAAAGCCAGCTAGACGAATTTACAGCTGAAACTGGTCTTCCAGCTTATCAGCCATCATTCTAGCTATAGCAAGCGAGCTGGTGGCGCCTGGACTAGGGGCGTTCCTACAGTGCAGCACCCTGCTTCCAATAGCAGCCCCGTCCTGCCCCTTGTACATGTCGAACACAAAATCCTCAATCAGGCTGCCTGAAACGCAAAGTGAGCGACCGGGCGCTGGCAGAGCCTTTTAAGTACCTGACATGTCCAAAGCCTGCGCCCGAACTCCCGCAGGACCGCGTTCCACATCGGCCGCCGTGATGGACGGCACAAACTTTTGCAAGCTGCGGACCTGCAGGGCTGGAATGGCGGATTTAATCACTTCCTGAGAGCCGGCCAGCATGAACTTTACGGCCAGCTTGAGGAAGCCTGGATAAAGCAGCGCGTCGACTAAGTCCGAGAGGCTGATGTCGCTCCATCTTCAAACCAAGCGGGTAGAAATTTCAAGGCTTCAATGCGTCCTTTCTCACCTGTAGCCTTCTCGTTTGAAGGCCAGCACGGCGTTGGGCCCCAACCAGACGCTCCCGTCCATTCTTGGGGTGAAATGCACGCCCAAGAACGGAAACCTGGGATCGGGCACTGGGTAGATGTTGCCCTTGATCATGCTGGCCTTCTTCGAGTTCAAAAGCAGGTATTCGCCACGGAAGGGAATAATTCTCGGCGCTCTTGGGCAGCCTGAAACTTCGCAATTAATCGAAAGCTCTTTAGGGTCCCACAGACTTCGGGTTTTACGCGGTTTTGAATGAATAGCTAAAACTGTACGGTGTAAAAACAACGTTCCAAGCTTCATTTCTTCCACACCATGGAGGGCGAGTTCTCCAGATGCGAACCCTACAGGTTTCTCTTTCCGGGCTATTTTGGACGCAAAGGTTTGCTCAATAAAACAAGAAAGGAGGTTCGCAAGATAACACTTCAAGGGGAATGTGAAAATTTTAAAGCAGTTTTTGAGTTGATTTTTCAAACAGTTTTTCTTCCAAGGTAAATTAAATGAGTAAAAAACGAAAAAATTATAGGCTTTTAATTATGATGTTTCATAGCAGCCAGGCCAAATACTCAGTAAACTATTTTGTCTGCCATGACGATTCTAGGGGCCGATCGAAACTCGAATCAATTTTCAATTCTTTTTTACAGCTAATAATTTCGAATTTAGTTTTAGATGCCCGCACGCACTAGCGGTTTTGACCCGTTTATTCAAAACCGTGTAAAAACCCGAAGTCTGTGCGGCCCCTTAGAGGAGCCACCCGGATACCTGACAGTTCTGCTAGTTTATCCGATTGCAATCCACCGCAAGTGAGCACGTATTTACTCTTTACGCTTTGCCCATCCTTAGCCCTGATTAGAACTGGGTAGTTTTTATCGCTCGACTGTCCGAATCCGTTCACCTGCAGGCAATTTGGGGGGTTTTCAACAGCACAGAAATAACGACTTCCTAAACCTCAAGGAAACTGATACCGAAAGCCCCGAATTCGAAAATTTCGCAAAGGATGGCCTAATTTCGGTGGTGGTGATACAACTTACCTCGAAGTTCAGATAGATTTCTCCGCCTTTTTCCTTGAAATCAACCCCGTATTGTTTGGTGACCAGGCCGTAGTCGATGATGCCAGTATGGGGCGACCAGAGCGCCTCCAGGCCCACGCAATACGGTTCAATATTCTGAATTTCCTCTACGCCCTTGAGCATTTTGATGTCGGGCACCTTATTCTGAATGGCTGCGGTATTGAGGGTTAAAACATCTTGTCCGCCACTCACATTTCGATTACCTCTATTGTGCAGCTCGGCCAGACGACCCACTTCCACCTCATCGCTGGCCACAATAAGCTTGCCCACCTTTTTGTAGGGAATTTTCTTTTCGTCGCAGTATTGATACATCAGGTGCATTCCCTCAACACATAGCTTCGCTTTAAGCGATCCTAGTAAATCCCGCGCTTTAATCCCGGCCTATTTTTCCCGCAGGGTTTGCACTCAACTACCTGGTTTGTAGTAAATGCCGGCATGAATTACGCCGCTGTTATGCCCCGTTTGATGCATCGCCATTTCGTGCTCCTTCTCCAGAATGGCCATTTTCAGCTTGGGGTGGCGCAGTTTCAGTTCGCGCGCTGAGGCAGCGCCCACAATACCACCCCCAACCACCACCACGTCATACTCTCTTAAAAAAATACCCAATAGATCTACTTTATTTGGAATAAATGGAATTTTATAAGCTACAGCATGACATTGATTAAGAACGCGACTCTGATCTCAGTCACCTGTGATCAAACTGATATAGGAGGGCCCCCCAAGAGTCTTGGCAGCGTTAAGGGGCAACCCCCAAAATTACGTGAGTGATTATGCAATAAAACTAAGTGTATCAGCAGATAAAGATAAATGAGAATTACCTTGGGCCCCTTGAAGACAAGCTTCGCTCAATGGCAGTTTTAACGCCCTCGCATAATATTAGCCTCGGTTTTCCGCTCACCACAATTAAACCTCCCAAAATCCTGCTTAAATGAGCCATTCTTAAATTGTGTCAATATGTTTTTACGCTTAAATACTTTTAAATAACAATTTGTTTAACTAATGCTAAATTGTGGCAACTCTGTCAAGGACATTTAAGGGTTACTTGTCTTCATCTATGGTTATTAAGGCACCGTTGCCAAACCCAGTACGGACCAACTGTCTCTGTTTCTCCCATGCGTCTGGGCATACTTTCCCTCTCGATGCAAGGTAAAGGAGTTGTCAAATGTGCTATCATTCAGCAAAACAGGTTCACAGAGTAACCTCGGTGATCTGTGTACAGGTTATGTGTGCTTGAAACATCAACATCAACAAAGTACTTGCAAGAATCCTGTTGATTATTCCATGGAGCTGAACGCAAACCGATCATTCTGCCGACTATGTTTATCTACGTCCGCCATCTACTACTCGCTGCTGAAAGACGATGGCAAAGAGATGCTCTTGGCTCTGACAGGAATCACTGTAGGTTGGGAATGAGCCCCTTATTCCCACCAGAACCAGCAGGTTGTCATCCAAGGACCTGTTTGAGTTGCAGGTGAATGAGGAGGAGTGTCCGACAGACTCATGTGTGAAGTGCTGGTTGAACTTGAAGTCTGCCTACAGCATTCAGCAGCGCTTTATCGAAGCTGACAGACGATTTAGGACGACGGGGCTTCACAGTAGCCTGGACCTAGAGGAGGACACGATGAATGACTCGCATCTGAATTTCATTAAAGTCGAGACAGAGTCCACTGAAGGTTGGTTGATATTCATAGTGCGAAAGCAGCTGAATTAAATTCATTAGCAGGCAGTCCACTAAATGCCAGCAAGATGCTTGAAGAGGAGGACACGAATTTCAGCGAGCTAATTTATATTAGAACAGAAGGCGAAGTGATTGAGACGGAGTCCAACTGCTACATTTGCAATGTAAAGTGTGAAGACGACGCCGCTTTGCAGAAGCACACGAACAGTCATTTCAATGATGAGCAACCCTGTGACTCCTGCAGGTTATCGCTGCCCAATATCGAGGCGTATCGGGACCACATTCAGGTCAAACACCCGGACCTGGTCAACCGGGTGCACAATTGTGGGATTTGTGGGCATTCCTTTAGGTATTTCACTTCAAAACCACCTTTGGAAGGTGCACAATGTATCCTTTCAGATACTTAACTTTATATGAAACGCATCTGGCGGCAGTGCATCCCACCACAGCACGTACGCGGCACAACAGGCGGGATGTGTCCCGATTTCTGAAGAGCGATTCCCTAAACTGCGATCATTGTAACAAGACTTTTGGGACGAGACGCTCACTAAATACGCATCTTAAAGGTGGGTAAATCAGCGCCCCACTTGCTTAGTGATTGAGTTGTAAAATACACTTGCAGGTCACATAAAAAAGCCGTGCCCGATCTGTAACACTTTGATCACAGTGTAAGTAAAATAAATTCGAAGTTTGCGCCTCTACAACAAACTCCATTATGTGCCAGGTACAATCTGAGCAAGCACGTCAATAACCACGCAGCACATCCGGCTGTTTGCCACCTGTGTGGCATCACGGCGAAAAATCCGGAGAGTCTGAGGGGCCACATGTACTACACCCATTCGCAAAAGCGGCTAAAGTGTGACTACTGCGGCAGAATCTTCAAAAAACTATACGCTTACAAGATGCACATTAAAAAAGAGCATACTGGTAAGGGCGCAGCTCCAACGCATTTTTAGCGCTGTTTAAACTGGCTGGTTTTAGGAGAGCGTAGCTTTACTTGCGACTCATGCGGCAAGCGGTTCTTCACCAACTACGAGCTGAACAACCACATCCGGAGCAGACACTTAAAAGAGCGAAACCACATCTGCCAGTACTGCAAAAAGGGCTTCTCTAGCCGGTTCTCAATGCGCACCCATGAAAGGTATCGAATCTTCAACTGATTTAGTCTGGGTTAGTCAAAACTTGCGGGTTTTATTCCCTTTCAGACAACACACGAATGAAACACCATACGTATGCGAAGTATGTGGCCAAGGATTTCGGCAGAACGTATCCTTGCGGGCGCACAGACGCTCGAAGCACAATATCGAAGAAGACAAAGTCGCCGAATGTCCGGTGTGCAAGAAAATGTTCCGGGACGATTGGGCTCTAAAGAGTCACACGCGCTCAGTGCACGACTAGCGCAATTATATATTATTGTTGAGTTTTAAATGTTGTTAATTGATCGGTCCTTATCAGAGTTTTGCAATATATTGTGATCTCTTTTATAGGTTCTATTTGCGGATCCTATATGTACATGGTAATGATAACCAAATAAAAGTATCGACTTTCTATCAATTTGTGATATGTTTGGTTCATGTGAATAGGAGTACAGGTAGTTAATGTAAAAGCGCGTTGTACTTACCTTATATGAAACGCATAGCTTACAGTATCTGGAGTGATTTGCCAGAAGCCATTAGATTCACTCAAAGGTCCACCGTTCAACTAGATCACGTTTTTTGCACTTAAATTAGATTTGTACATTTTCGGAGTTTAAAACTAACGAAAATCGAATATTTAATAACGAGAGGCTATACCGCCCGAACCGTACCGACGTTGCCATTATTTCGCTTCTGTTATCTGCTTATGTTTCAATAGACTATTCCAAGATGACGTCACGACAGATCGAAGACATACGCTCGATTATTACACACATTCCCATTTGACCACTTGTTCACGTATATGTTAACGTTAATTATTTTTACTATTTAATCTTAATTAACAAAATATATTTTATTATT